GGGAAAGAGGGGTGAGTGTTGTAATGATGGTAAGATGACGGGTTTTGGTCGAGATCTAACCAATCAAATGAGTTCCAAAGACTCGGGAAAAGATCTTCGCTTTGTTCTGTCGGAAACTGTTTTGCTTCTTCTAACATGTAGGCTTCGTTTGGATCCATCTCTCTCTCTCTCTCTCTCTCTCTCCCTCTCTCTCTCCCTCTCTCAAACACACTCATTGGAGATTACTGGATGGAAAGACCGGAAGAATATATATAGATAGAACAACTGAAAATTTGACAATTTACAATATATATGTGCGTGTGTATATATATATTCTTCAGGCCATATTACAGTTAAAGATGAATACATATATATAGATAGATCAAGTGGATGTATCAATTGTAATTTGGTCATATTTATAAAAAGTCTTGGATTGTGGCCCAATCAATGTTTAATAGTTAAGTCGAGGTTATGGTTGCATTAGTTAGTCATGTGATATGATTGCATCCAAACATTATAGCAATCGCCATCCAACGTCTTACCAAAATTCAAATACTAATTAGTCATCACTAAGCTAAAGTGATAGAGAAAATCTCAATATCAAACCCTTAATTTCAAATTAAAATATTATTTTTTTCCCAAAAACCAGTCCCTTGAATTATAGAACGCAAAAAAAAAAAAAATGGCGTCTTATTAGTAAACTTGGTAGCCATATACGCGGATCTTCAAGATGTAACTTAAAGGTGAGCTTTCAAGTATTAGCTTAATATCATAATTTATTTTAGGGGAAAAATAAAAATAATAAAAATTATAGATATATGAGATAAACCCAAATATTTACAGTCGAGCATTGTCCGATCAGAAACATGAACGAACTAAAACCTAAGGTACGAAATCCGATTCTATGGATTTTTTTCGGGTTCGGGTCAGGTTTCGTGTTTGAATACTAGAAAAATAGAAAAAAACATTTATAAAACAAAGTTAAAGATAACTAAAATACAAAATTTTTAATAAATATTTACGATAATTAAAAAATAAAAATTCGATAACAAAGTTATATATTTTGATTTAAGAGAAATTAAAACTCTAATTCTTTAGTTTTATATGGTTATATTTTTTTAAATATTATATTATTATATTTTTTAATTGGAATAATTATTTGAAACTAATGATATTATAGTTTTGAATATATTTTCTATTAAAATATTATATCCTAAATTATTTAGTATTAAACAAATTTTTGATTTTTTATAATTTTCAATCTTATATAAATTTTTATATTTTTTTCCTATGCATGTATACATACATATATATATATTTATCTGTATATATGTATATATAAGATTGAGTGAGTGTTTATATATATATATATATATATTAATTTATATATATATTATATGATTGAATTTGTGAATGTGAATATAAATATGTATGTATATATATGTAAAAATATTAACAGTTGATTCTTAACTTTGAAATATTTAACCTTATGACACCCATATCTCGATTCCAGTCACATGATGCGCCAGATGGAATAAAAGGAATAAAATATTACGAAACAAAATTACGAGAATTTTAAAAACCGTTTTAATATTAAACACACAGCGGAATTAAACAACAGTTAAGTCTTAAAACACACATGTTCGAGTTAGAAAGGGTGCAACCGTACAAACATAGGAACCGTGTTCCATAGTTCAAAACATATAAAGAAGAAAAACCCCGTACACGATGATGCCTCCTCGAAGTCTTCGTCACCTCAAACGTGCTACTCGTATTCCTCGTGATATGAAAAAGGTGAAACCACGAGGGCAAAGCACAACTGCTTAGTGAATGACCCGGGTTGAATCCGGTAAAATTCGTTCTCAGCGAGAACGATGTTAAAACGATAAAACACAAAATATAATATTCAACATTAAACATATACTCATATCACATCAGAACATAATCATATTCATTCCCGTATGGTTTCACGTCAATAAGGTTAGCCGTGAACCCTGGTCACATCTCATGACCAGGAGCGCCTCACACGCCCGTCACATCGCATGACATTGGCTGTCGCATCGCACGACAATCAAGTATGTATGGCTTCACACCATAGAATCAGCCATAAACCCTAGTCACATCGCATGACTAGGATCACCTCTCACGCCCGTCACATCGCATGACGTTGGCCGTCATATCACATGACAACAATGCGCCTCACACGCGTGTCACTTCTTTGACGACCGAAGTCACTTCTCGTGATCCATCGGAAAACAAACGCAATCATCGTGCAACGATTCACTCGGTGTATGTCTCACGTCTCACCACGCATTCAAGTTATTGATCTTTTATGTTTGTCCCCCTTACGTTTTGTCATTGTTCCGGGCTCCTTTTTTCATAGTTTGGTAATTCCCAAGTTTATTTTTCTTACCACGGCCTTTCGGCTCATTTTTATCACTTTTCAGGTCTGGACTGGTCGGTTCGGACATTTTCAGGGTCTGGACCGGTCGGTCTAGACATTATTAGGATCTGGACCGGTCGGTCTGGGCGGTCGGTCTAGACAAATCGGTCCAGGTGTTTTTCCAGTTTCTAGACCGGTCGTCCAAACATTTCCAGTGTCTGGACCGGTCGGTTCAGGTAATTTTTGCATGAACCGGTCAGTCTAGAATCTAGCTGAGACAGATCGCGAGTTCGCGATTTCCAGATTCCGGTCCAACTTCGTTGGCTCGTAACTTACTCGTTTCTTATCCAAATTGAATGCTATTTATTTCTAAACGTTCACTGAAATATCCTCTTTTAATTTCAATCATCAATTGATCAAAATATCACACCTACGACCTGGGAAATGATTCGAAATTCTCGGATTTAGAACTAGTTCGCATTTTCTAAAATTTCCAGTATTTCTTTGATTTTCAAACCTTCATATCTCACTAGTTTCTTCACCAAATCGTGTACCATTTGTTTCTATGTGTTCAATAAAACTTCCTCTTTCTAATCATGCATAGGTTTCATGGATTTAACATCATAACAACGATGAAAATGAGCTCACACAAAGGTAACTCGAGCCACTCACCTTAAAACGAATTTGTTTCTGGTTTTGGCCGGAATTGGTGGAGTTTTCCGGCGATTTCAACGCCGGCGATCCGCCCAGACGTTCTAGGGCTGTGCCTTTATTGTTTTACCGAGCTCCTTTCACCGTTCCTTCCTCTCCTTCTCCTTCTCCTCCTCTCTTTTCTCTCTTTTTCTTCTCTGCAATTTTCTCCAGCAACAATGGCTGACTTTCTCTCTTTTGCAGGGTTTTTAGAGAAGATGGATGAGCTCTAGTGCAAACAAGAGGGTAGGATTACGAGCTGGTGCCTCTCACTATGGCTAGAGTGGGGTTAGGCGGCTGTTAGGCCCCTTTTGACGCATGTATGTCGCGTCCAATAATGTAGGTTCGTCTGATATTTCCGCACTTGGACCGGTCGGTCTGGACCTGGACCAGTCGGTCCAGATGTATTTTCTCTCCCCCGGTCTCCTGGCTTGTTTGGTCCACAGTTTTTGCCAGTTCGGTCCAGACCGGTCGGTCTACATGCTAGACCGATCGGTCTAGACGTATTTTCTTCTTCTCTTGTCATTTTCTCGTCTTTTCTCGTCCCACTCGCACGTGGTGATTTCCGAGCCTCTTCCCAACACCTTGTGGTCTATTTCTTAAGGGTTTAAGACTCGTTTATATAATTGTTCTTTTCCGAAATTAATTAAATATTCAAAACCGGATTCGTGTTATTACAAATCCTTCCCCCTTAAAAAGAATTCGTCGCCGAATTCGGAATTACGTGATGTCATCAATTTACTCGCATTCATAGCATAATACCCAAGACCTCCAATACAACACTGCCATACATCAGGTAGGAGTTCAATACGATCAAACGTCATATAGAAGAGTTCGTACAACATCAAGTGAAAAGATAGGGGTAGTTATTACGCATCTCTTCCTTGGATTCCCAAGTCATGTCCGAGACCCCTTCGTTTTGTTGGTTGTAATGCTCTACGATGATCCGTGATATGACATTTTGACTATGTATTGATTCATTGGTTTATGAATGCATTACTTTTCCCGTTATATGATTAGCATGTTTGTTATATTACGGTAAATATCCTTGAATCATTGCAGATGATTCTAAATTCCCTGGTCAATTATCATTGTGGGAACAATGATGAATTAAGACCAGCATGATGTATGATAGATGATTATGATCATATGCATTAGATGCAAATCACAATCATGGGTTCTCGTTTGGAACGAGTTACTGGATGACCCGCATGAGATTGTCACATGGACATGAGTCATGACTTGAATCTCATACAGCGGTTCGTTCTTGGATCCTCAGACCTGAGATGTCTAGAGTATCTGATATGAGGAGTGACGTGTCTTGACTGCGTCAAACGTCGTCTTTAACCGGATGATCATAACGGCGTTGCTCAGATACGTTCACGAATCATATGCAGATAGTAGACATGCAATACGGGACTTGTCACCTCCTACGCAGGAGAGATGTCGCTGGGCCCCTCGTGGAAATCGGACTGTGAAAATGCGTGGCCACGCTATAGATGAATGTACATCTATTTTATCAGTCGGTTTGCCTAGACGAGTAAGCGGTTGAACTTGAAGGGTGACTCATACCATGCCCTTGTTCAACATACGACATCGTGAGACAAAGGATCAGAACTCGAACTAATGCTGGCTTTGTTAGATCACCTCTAACTCTATTCTAGGGGGGTAGTCATGGCGTCTTGCTAGAGGCTAACCATGACTTGTGGTGCGGGAAAGGTTTCCGAAACCACTGCCACTTCGAATGGGCCTACAGGGTCACACACCATTAGGGATGGATCACACGTGAAGAGAACAACGCGAGAAAAGAGCGACGAAGCGATCTGGAAGAGTTCCGCTGAGGAACGTTCGTTCCGCTGAGGAACGGACGAACCGTTCCGCAAGTGCCAGAC